TTGTTTACTGCCTGCTTAGCCACATGTTAGGTTTCCTTGTACACTGCCACCTTTTTTTTATGTTAATAAACAATGAAAACTGAACCAACTCGTTCACACAACTATTGCAGATTTGCTAGAGATACAACATCAAACATAAGAAATAATTTCAAAAACATTTGAATAACGAAGATCATGGGCCACAATACTCACCTGAGTAACTTTAATGACTTTAACCGTGTTGTTCTTATTCAGATTTTCAAAACTTTTACCACTTAATATTCCCATGCAGGGACGTAGCATCGTTTTTGAAAGGGGGGGGGGGGCTCGAAAATTCTATTTTTTGGGTGTGGGGATAGGTTTCAAACTTCTTTCAGTATCAAATTTTACTCATACACTACTACATCACCCCTATTTGAATATTCTGCAACAAACAGTAGGGGGACGGACTTCAATGAACATTAACAATATTAAGTTTCTATAAATTTCATGTTTGGAAAAAAGGGGGGGGGGCAGACCCCTCCCCCTCTCCAATGCTACGTGCCTGTCATGAAAAAAAAATGTGTCAGCATAAATTAATATGGCGATATCAAACCCTGAGGGGTCTCTAAATCTACACAATATTAATAACAATGTCTTGCAATTATGAGGATTTTTTCCCTGTACAAATACATTCAACTTAAATCCCAATTTACTTAATTCATTAAATATACCAAATTAATTTTTAGCCAAATCTCACATAGTATCCATATAATATAAGAGTGCAGAACTTTAACTGGCAGATTAGAAATATGCAGCTTACGTCATTTAAATTTCCATCTGTTACAATCAGAATGTTTAATGAGAGACAATGAAATGGGCGGGTACAATTCAACACGGACGTCCGAGAAAACATTGGATTGAAATTCTAGTTTGAAATTCATTTTCAATCCAACTGAGCTGTTTCTAAACCTAAAGTGTGAATGTATGATCCGAAAGACAAATAATTTCAATTCCCAAATACATGTTGTTTGACATTCATATTTATGTGAGTACTTTAGCATATAATTTTAAGGATATGTAAAAGTAAAAGAAGATAGAGATTACTTTTTCAGGGGACGGCCATTTGATTCTAGAAGGGGGGGGGGTCAAAAATTGTCGAGTCAGATCATGCATCCACATGATAGAATATATCTATTTCTAGGATGACAAAAGGTTTTTTTTTAGTTTTGTCTTCACTGAAAACTGTTTGACAAACAAAACCAGGGAGGGGTTGTCAATTTAAAAGAAAATTTTCATATTTATTCCAAGATCGTTCAGCCCCCTCCCTCCCAGCACACACATTTACATACCAAACAGAAATCAAATATTTGTCCGTTTATATTTCTTTAAATACACTGGACAGAAAATTCTGATTTATATAAATTCCAAACTATTCCAAAATTGAAATTATTTGTCTTCTTGGTCAATCAGTAACACCGTGCGTTCTTGCGTAGCTGAGGTGGATTGAAAATGAATTTCAAACTGGAAATTCAATCCAATGTTTTCTCGGACGTCCGTGTCAAATTGTACCACACATTTCATTGTTTATCGTTTAACATTTTGACGGTAACAGATGGAGATGACGTAAGTTAATATTCCGCGGTCTTAATTTGTTAAGCAAACTGAATCAACACAACTTTGAATGGTTTGCATTCTAATGGTTCTATTGCAGCAAAGTTTCCTCAAAACAAACGAAACCTTTTAAGTCATTTGGATGTAATATATAAATCAGTAAAATATTAATGGACATGCTGATACAGCTCATCCAAATTTCTGAAAATAAAATCTTTATCTTCTGGGCTCCTTTCTTTAATATTTCGAACATTGATAATTTATTTAAAATACATATGAAAGCATTTGAAGCACAACGCCCTCCCTACTCTCTTCTGAATATGTACAAGATCCGGGCCATGGCCGTAGGAACCGGGGGGGGGGGGGGCAGGGGGGGCCGTGCCTCCCCAATAATTTTGCCGATATATAATACAATAGAAAACATAGATACTATATGTCTGTGCCCCCTCAATAAAAACGTCTGATGCCATTTTTTTTTTTTTTTTTTTTTTTTTTTTTTTTTTTTGCTTGTCAAGAAATTTTTGGTAGTAGATAGTGCCCCCTCGACTGAAAATGTATGGCTGTGCCCCCCCCCCCCAAACTGAAATTGCTTCCTACGAGCCTGATCCCTGGTGCCAACAACCAACTGACACTTTTTATTTTCAATGTTACCATCACCAGACACTAAATTGTCATTTTTTTCTTCCTCTGATTGGAACAAGTAGTTGATATTATCTTTTGGGTATAACTGGTTCTTTTCGGACACATTAATTACTTTTTATAGAAATTTTATATTTAATTTTTCTATCAAAATGTTTTTATCTTTATAACTCAATCATTATGTATTTTTTTAAATCCCATAATTTTTAATTTCATGTCAAGAAATTTCTATATAGAAGTAAGTATCTCTGAATACTTTGCCTTTTGTTTATTTGTTTTACATCTCTTCGAGAATTTTTCTCATAAAGAGACACTACCACTTGCCAATGGAGGCTAGGGCTGCAAATTTTTACCTATACAGGACACTCAGAACCATTGAGCAGTGAGGGATTTTTTTTTTTTTTTTTTGGGGGGGGGGGGGGGTGCCAGCACCTAATGCGAAATGGGATCTCGGTTTATACGATCTCATCCGAAGGGTCCGTTTCTAAACGCATACCGCAGTGGGATTCGAACCCACGACGTAATGTTTAACACCTTACTTTGAATCTCTAGAGCAAACGATTTTGAACAACTGTGCGACGCGAGTGAAATTTACTATTTGTGATTTTGATTTGATACAAATTTCAGTGTAATTGAATTTCAGGTATACTATATACATGTAGCTGAGCTGGACAAGTTTTTCAAACTTTCAATGAATTAAAACGATCGACTTGAATCTGTTTTGATTTTTTTTTTAAAAATCAGATGTAGTTTAACGAGCTACTGCAAGAAATAAAACTGCTGTAATTATGAGGATCGATCTTTCTCGCATATCGATCACTGGTCTTAATAAGCCATTGTGTCCGCACACGCATGCATTCATTCATTTTAATTGTTTTTATTAATAAAAACAAATGAAACATTTTTTAATAATAACGTACTACTGCAATACACTTTTATATGCAGACATTTGAAATGCATTAATTAATGTAACACACATTTTTCAAGTTCAGTACTAGTGTTGTACACGTGACCCACTGAATGCTGATAAATTCATGAAATTAAGGATTAAAAATTAATGACATCTGAAATTGTCACACATTTACTTCTTTCTTTATAAGTAATTCTTATCTGCAGAGTTATCAAAAACACTCAGTCTTGTCGGCAAGGTCGGTAAGGAATTTTCTGGACCGATAACGTACAAGAAAACAGTGGTACAAACGACCGTTTAAAACATTGAACGTGATGCAAATTTCTAAAACGCTGTGCCTAGGTAAGGACCACAAAACACCGAAATCGTCCGTATATGGTGACGATTGTCGATCAAAATTGTTAAAGCATGTCTCTGATTAGAGACTCTGTATCATAAGATAGGACTTTTTGTGAGATCGAATATCATAAAACTTAAAAGGCATCTTATTTTAGTGCTACTATTTTTTTCCCTTTATCAGCGATTCAGCGCATGTATCTGGTCTGACAAAACTTTGTCCAGTCTAACAGATCATTTAACTTTGTCAGACCTAATGTCTGACAGTGATTCAAAAATTTTGACATCTCTGCTCCGAAAATCACTGCACAGTAAATTCATTTACAGTTGTATAGACTTTACATTTGTATCTGTCCTAATATACTTAGAAGCATAGGTGAAATATTTGCAAGATTTTGCCATGGTTTATTTCCTTCATCACATGACTATTAATTGTTTGGAAGTTTGAAAAATAACAATAAAAAAATTTTCAGCTTGTTATATGATCTAACGTAAACGGTTATAATTTGTTGTTTTTCTCACTTAAAATTTACATACGTACATGTAGTTCGAATGTCAGACCTGGCTGTTCCGACTTATTTTATCAAGAATTTCATATGTGAAATGCTTATAAATTTTATGCCACATGAAATCAACTTGAAAACTCAAAAAGCTTAATCTAGTAATTTATCTTAAAGTTTCATCTTTCTGTGTACGTTAATCACCTTCTCTCCGATTTTCTTCCTCTTCGACGTTAAACGTGTTAGGATTCAATATTAAACAAACAATTGTTCATTTATATCCGAATCAATGTAATTTTTTTTTTATTCTTTTGATGTTTATTGTATTACCAAATAAATATTGTTGAAAACTTCGAATATTTATGGCTAAAAAAGGTATTACATTGATTGTGAAATAATTTTTACCACGTGTCAGTCAATGCAAAGAGGTTTCGCGCAGTCATATAGTCACTTGTACATAGTTGTCGTTAATTTCCCTCTCATTGTTTATAGGTGCCGCTGTATGTGCTGCAAAGGAGGTTCGTGACGACAATTTTCAACATTTTTTTAGTTCTGTATAAATCAATTTTAATTTAATCAAAATATAGTATTCAAATTAAGTTAAATGAAATTCAATTGATTTAGTTTCATATCATTTATCAAAATTAGATAAATTCAGAAAATTGAAATGGACTATTTTATGGCGGACGTTTATGCAAGTTTACATTGAATATCACAGGAGTAAATTGGTCGACACAGAAGCCCCACAGACGGCCACTATATAATCAATACAAATTACTGCGCTTAGAAAGCCCGTGATGACCAAGGGAGATTGAACATAGTTCAACTCCCAAAAATCACTGTGGCGGAATATTTAAAGAAATTTTGATTACTTCTCATATGTCCGCAAATATTTTTTCAATAAAATGGAAGAATAAGACTACAGGTAAAAATTTAAAAATAAAATTAGTGATTTTATTTGAATTATCACCTACTTTAAAAAGATATGCGAGTCTGAAAAGTATTAACAAGGGAAGCTACAAATTAGTAATTAAATTAGTTACCTGAACAAATGTCTGCACACAACCTGCGGACAAGGGATCTGTAATTAAATCGAGACGTCAGTGATTATTTATACAATCTTTATTATCTTTCCCTTGATTGCTCATTGGATAGAAATTATCACGTGCCTGCTTATATATGCGGATGATAAACAAAATACCCCAGCTGCTTCACCAAAATATTTCTTTCACTTACAAAATGTCCGTGCCCTGTCCGTGCATGTCATTTCTTTTTTCAACAAATCTATACGACGGAAATGAATCAGTGTACAACATCATTTAAGACAACTTAATTTGATAAAATATATAACGTGTGAAAAAAAAAACAGCCAAAAATGATTTGCAAATGTCATATTTTATACTTTAAAAATATTTTTACGCCTTTTCATATTCCTTACATAGCTAACACATTTTTTACTTGTCCATAGCAGTAACTTGAGTTGGCAATGTTACAATATACGGACTAAAAGTATTAACAAAATAAAACAAAGGATATATAAATGGATTCTATGAAGCAACTTCTGTAAATGATGGAATGGAATTACACTCAAGCTAAATTACCGGAATTTACCTGAACTTTTCCTTTCCACTTCAAATGTTTATGACATTTTTCATCATCTGAACAATTCGAAACCCCTCAAACAAATTTAAGAAAAGTTTAATTGAAAACTAGATAAAGAGGTACTTGTGTCTTCTTATATAAAAGAATAGTCATACTTAATGTAAATATAACAAAGAAAAGGTTAAAAAAAAAATTAATCATTTCTCAAAAATCTACTCCTCTCAAAGAGCTTCATGCATATGAGATAGGAAAATAAGACATTCAAAATCTCATTCTTACAGAGTACATTTGTATTTATCAACTCAAAGTCAGGAATCAACGCAGCATCACAATATATGTAGATTCAGTGTTTCAGAGATATCTTTCGAAATCTCTAAAAAAAAAAAAAAAAAAAAAAAAAAAAAAAAAAACAGGAAGTAAATTTTGTTGAATATGTTTTCTATAAAGCTGTTGCCTTGCAGCATCCAGCATGTCTCGTCACCTTGAAAGGTCTTTGCAACGAGCTCCACTTATGTTCACTTTTTGAAAATTATGCTATTTTGTTAGAGTTGTTTCATAGCAATCCTCCAATAATCGCATTTTCTGCATTTTTTTTTGTTTTTTGTTTTTTTTGTAAAATATGCAAAAGAAAAACACCTGTTGATATTTTGGTTTTCATACACAACTGTTTTAAAAATGATTTTTCTCATCACCATTTTAAATTAAGAGCTGCATTCTCAATTTCGTGCATAACTCTTCAGAGGTCATTCTTTCAATCCCTATATTAAATATTCAAATGCAATGTGGTTTCCTTTTAATGGCGTCGAAGGGAAATAATTTGAAATAATGATATTGAAAAGATTATTTCTTTATTTTAACAATTAATCAAGAAGAAATATGGACTTCTATGATAATTCAAACGCTTATTTTTAATGAACCGTTGTTTTTGTGCCATGTCTTTCTATTTGGAGTGTACAAAGTATCACTGATTATTAAGGTACAAATTGCAACATTCTGAAAGGTTATGTAAGAAATTGGCATTGTAGCTATACTGAACATATTAAGACACATCTTTCAATACGAACTTAACCTTGTTTGAAAAGTGTTGTGATGAATTAGACCGTGTTCTATATTTCTATATCTATTTTCTATAAATTCTGTAATTTTTATTCAGACATTTTACATTTAATCAACGTACAGAATGTACTCCCGGAAGTTAAAAAACATTTGAAGAGTAGATTTAGAGGATGATGAAGAGGGTGGAAAACGTTATAGTCCCAATTGCTTATGTCTGACAAATGTGTACACAATGTTCATCGCCCTTTAAAAGTAATTGGCAACATTTCAATTATGTTTTAGGAGGATTGCGTTTTTCTGGCAAAACATCTTCAGCCCTTTTAAAAACGTCCTAATTTTGTATACATATTAAAATTGAGACTTCAGTTTTTAAGTCCTAGAAAAGTTTTTGCCTTTTTCATTATTATTTTTTTTAAAACAGATCAACTGCCCTTAACTGTTCATCTGTGACAGTTTTTAATTAACTATACCGGAATTTGATCTTTGATTTTACAGAAATAAGTTTAATTCGACTACCATGCTCCATTCTGGCGGAACTTGAATGACCTTCACTGATCAACAATACCGGAATTGTAACTTTAAACTAATTCAAAACTTGTTTAATTGACAGAATTTGTTCCTTTCTAACGGAACTTTAATGACGTTGCAGATGCAACAAATTTAATATCAGCAACAATGACACAAACCCACTTGAACTTTAGCTCTGATGTTCATGTTTTTTAAAGAAAATAACGTTTTGTTTATGAACTTTAATCTGAAAAAAAGAAGAATAGGTACATTGCATCATTGCATTCTGAATATATGTATTTGTTGTATTGTACGGGGGAAACAAAATATTGAAATAATTATTTGGAATTTATTCTGATGAACGAAATAAAACTTGGGAACTTTATTCAAATCTGTAAGATTGTTACGAGAATAAAATCATCATTCTTTTTAGATATATTAGCTATTTACACTTAACACTTTTATTTTTCTGTACAATTTAGAATTTTCTAGAACCAATATTTTTCCGATTTATTGGTCTACTACGGTTTCCATTTTTTGAAATGATGACAAGGTGAAGATAACAAACAGTGATCAATCTCAGAAAAACCTACAAACAATACAAATTTTTGGACAAAGCACGGATCCCTGGAAATTCAAGAGGTGGGATCATCCTCTGTTGACCGGTCAAACACGCCATGAGCCCTACGTATATGTATTGATCAGGTAGATGAAATAATTTAATAATTTAGTAAAAATAAAGGCCTTAAAATTAGTATGAAAACACGTAAGCCAAAAAAATGACCCAGTGATAGTATATATTTGCTAATAAGGCCATTATAAAAACAATAGAATTTACGAAATGCTGATTTAAAACGAGCTTATTGAAATCCATTAACATCAATTTATATGTCAGTAGCCTGCCCCGATTCAAAAATTCATCGTATTCGGAGCATGGTCTTAAGTATCGAATAAGCTGTTAGATGTAAAGATGCAGATACATATCCAGGTGAATATTACTACATAAATAAGGATGCTGACGATGGAAAAGCTGAAGTCATCTCGTTGATAATACACAATTTTGTTGTTAAATGGCCCTTATTTACGTTCTCTCCTGTTACGTCATAATAATTTACTTGTACGAGGTTACTACACTCCAACCCCCCAACCCCCACCCCAAATCGAAAACATCTTTGCTTTTTATGAAAAGGTTAAGTTACATGTTTGTTGTTTTACATTATCAGCTTATTAATTTCCATATTAGTTCCTGTAAAAAAAAATCTAACTAATGATATAATTTCATCTTTTTTATATCTGTATTATATATGCACGGATATTATTGAAACAGGTGTGTTTGTTAATTTCAAAGGCCCATTGAAACAATACAAATTTTGAGCAGAGGAAACACAGACCTCTAACATCAGTGGGATCAGCTGCCATCGAGGAGTAAGCATCCTCTCTCGACCGCTCACACCTGTCGTGTGCTCTTTGTCGTGATCGGGCAAATAGAAAAATCTGTGGACAATTTGGTGTGAAAATAATGGCCAAACAGTTTGTATAAAAAACGTCAGTCATCATTTTATGGCTTTACTGATGCTCTCCTATCTTTTGGAAAAGAATTGATCTATAAAAGTGAACATTTTTCCACATTAAGTCACCTTTCAATATCAGTGTTAATCTTTTTTTATTTTCTACCGCATACTAGTACATGTATATGTATGAATTTTTCAGCTTTGCTTTTTGAACCTGATAAAATTTAGCTAAAACAACATTTTCCCAAATCAAACATAGGTTTTTTGCATAAATGTTGACTAGAAGTTCTCCAGAGTGGGTCTGTTCCTGAATAAAATTATATTTTGATTGAGTGTGATCAAAGGAATAACTATGAAATAAATTGGAAGGGCAACCTTTTCGGGGAAAAGAAACCTGTTTTTGACATTCCTGATCATATTCTTACTACTTTTTCATAGTACACATAGCTGATAAAATAAATAGTATGTATGGTTAGCCCGCTTTTAAGAGCCAGGTTCAAATCCACCTTGCACCATACTTATGCTGTTTTAAAAATATATCAACTAAAAAACAGGAAGTAAATTTTTTTGAATTTATCTAATCCTTTTTTTAAATCTGAATTTAAAGGGTTTATTTTATATAAAGCTGTTGCCTTTCAGCATCCAACATGTTCCTTCACCTTGTAAGTCTTTGCAGTGAGCTTTATTTATGGTCACATTTTCAAAGCTCTGCTATTTTGTTAGAGTTCTTTCATAGAAATCCTCCAATACGCGCATTATATACAGTAAAATATGCAAAAAAGTAACCACCTGATAAAAGCAAGCGCAGCGAGCGCTGCGAAGCGCCGCTCGTCACTGTGAGCTCTTAAAGCAACGCCTGGGCGAAGAGAAAATTCGGACTTTGCACATTGATTCAAATGAATTTTTTTCCGCAGTTACCTGTGGTCCCATAATGCTTAGCGAATTGTATCTCGCCGCAAATTACGTCCTCGCGGTAGCAACAAAAATTCAACAAAAAATAAAATCACCTCGATTTAATGAATATATAGCAGATAAATAGTAGATGAAACGTTCTTGATTAAAATTAGCACTGATCAGACTCTGTTTTGGTAATGCAACATACATACGACGTCATATGACGTCAGAGTCTAGAGTAGCAAATATCACGTGCGGTTTGATGAGCCCGATCTAAATTAAAACTGTAAGGTATCTGCGCTCGCCCTAATAGTCGCACCGTCAACATATTATGTTGATTTTGATATACAACTGTTTTTAAAGATGATTTTTGCTCATCATCATTTTTAATTAAGAGCTGCATTCTTTATTTCGTGCATATCTCTTTAGAGGTCATTCTTTCAATTCCTATTTTCAATATTCAAATGCAATGAGTATCCTTTTAATGATGTCCAAGGAAAATAATTTGAAATAATGATATTGAAAAAGATTATTT